CCCCCTCACTCACTCACTCTCTCCCCCTCACTCACTCACTCACTCTCTCTCCCCCTCACTCACTCACTCTCACTCTCTCCCCCTCACTCACTCACTCTCTCCCCCCCTCACTCACTCACTCTTTCTCTCCCCCTCACTCTCACTCTCTCTCTCTCCCTCTCACTCACTCACTCTCTCTCCCTCTCACTCACTCACTCTCTCCCCCTCCCTCACTCACTCACTCTCCCCCCCCTCACTCACTCTCTCACTCTCTATCCCCCTCACTCTCACTCTCTCTCTCCCCCCCTCACTCACTCTCTCACTCTCCACTCCCCCTCACTCACTCACTCTCTCTCTCTCTCTCCCCCTCACTCACTCTCACTCTCTCCCTCACTCACTCTCTCTCTCCCCCTCACTCACTCTCTCTCTCTCCCCTCACTCACTCTCTCTCTCTCTCCCCCTCACTCACTCTCTCTCTCCCCCTCACTCACTCACTCTCTCTCTCCCCCACCCTCTCTCTCTCTCACTCCCTCTCACTCTCCCTCTCCTCCCCCCACTCACTCTCTCTCTCTCCCCTCACTCACTCTCTCTCTCTCCCTCACTCACTCTCTCTCTCTCCCCCCCTCACTCACTCTCTCTCTCTCTCCCCCTCACTCACTCACTCACTCACTCTCTCTCCCCCTCACTCACTCTCTCCCTCTCTCACTCACTCTCTCTCCCCCCTCACTCACTCTCTCTCTCCCTCACTCTCTCTCTCTCTCTCTCTCTCTCTCTCTCTCCCTCACTCTCTCTCCCTCACTCACTCTCTCTCCCCCTCACTCTCTCTCCCCTCACTCACTATCCCCCCCTCACTCACTCACTCTCCCCCCTCCCTCTCTCACTCTCACTCTCCCCCCTCACTCTCTCCCCCTCACTCACTCACTCTCACTCTCTCCCCCTCACTCACTCACTCTCACTCTCTCTCACTCCTCCTCCCCTCTCTCACTCACTCACTCACTCTCTCTCTCTCCCCCTCACTCACTCACTCTCACTCTCTCCCCCTCACTCACTCACTCTCACTCTCTCCCCCTCACTCACTCACTCTCACTCTCTCACTCCTCTCCCTCACTCACTCTCACTCTCTCCCCCTCACTCACTCACTCTCACTCTCTCCCCCTCACTCACTCACTCTCACTCTCTCCCCCTCACTCACTCACTCTCACTCTCTCCCCCTCACTCACTCACTCTCACTCTCTCCCCCTCCTCACTCACTCTCACTCTCTCCCCCTCACTCACTCTCTCCCCCTCACTCACTCACTCTCACTCTCTCCCCCTCACTCACTCTCTCTCTCTCCTCTCTCACCCCTCACTCACTCTCACTCTCTCCCCCCCCCTCACTCACTCTCTCCCTCACCTCACTCACTCACTCTCTCTCTCCCCCCCTCACTCACTCACTCTCTCTCTCCCCCTCACTCACTCTCACACTCTCTCTCTCCCCCTCACTCACTCTCACTCTCTCCCCCTCACTCACTCACTCTCACTCTCCCCCTCACTCACTCACTCACTCTCACTCTCCCCCTCACTCACTCACACTCACTCTCTCCCCCTCACTTGTGCTCTCACTCACTCTCATACTCTCTCTTTCACACTCTTGCTTGTTTACCAGCTCCAACCTGCTTCTTACTTTTCTTAGATGGTTGACTGAGTGAGTGAGGCAGGGTGAGAAACCTGTTGTCCTGTATGAGGCGTTCCTGTACTGGTATGCAAAAGAGGTCCAAGAGGGAAGTCGTGTTGCTGACCTCCACCCTCGCCTGTATTTATTCCTATCCGCAGAAAGTGAAGCAAAAAACTTCTTTACTCGAGACTTGCTAGAATGAGGCTCTCCTGTCAGGGCCGCTTGCCTTGGTAATGTTATTGTTACCCCAGCGACCTGTTTGACTGGTGACTGGCTGGTTGAACACTATCTGCCCCATCCCCAAGGAAGTGAAGTGACCATATTGCAGAGGCAGATTCTGTGCCAACTTGGAAGGGTGCAAATTGCAGGCAGGGAGAGGATACAAGAGTAGTGGGAACAAACTGCATACCTGAACCTGTGGCCGACCCCACCTCAGTGACAGTGGAGCACCTAATGATGTTAAAAGGAACAACCTCTGCTCCACAATCAGCATCACAACTCGCACTCTCATTCTCTAACTTGCTTGAACCAGCCCCACTACTTGTCACTTCATTTGGTAAAAGCCCTGGACAATCACATTCCGAGGGAACACTACATTTTTTATCCATTTTTACTCGTTACACTGGTTTTAAACTTCTTATCCTGGCAGCTCTGATCATGAGTAGTATCAACAAGAAGGGGAGGAGAAAGTGGTGGTGGAAGGCATTGGGTTGCTCCACTTGAATGATGCAGCCCACCGCATTATTGACAGATGACGTTTTTGCCAAGCATTATAACGCTGCCATAAATATGTGTAAAATTAACATGCTCTAAAATATACAAGAGTAATCCTTGAAAATATAAACAGGAAGAAAATATTTAACTCACAGTTTGAGCCTCACTGGTGGAAGTCTTGTTCCCAGTGGCAGGAGTAAGGTCAGGGGCCATGGTGGAAGTCTTGTCCCCAGTGGCAGGAGTAAGGTCAGGGGCCATGGTGGAAGTCTTGTTCCCAGTGGCAGGAGTAAGGTCAGGGGCCATGGTGGAAGTCTTGTTCCCAGTGGCAGGAGTAAGGTCAGGGGCCATGGTGGAAGTCTTGTCCCCAGTGGCAGGAGTAAGGTCAGGGGCCATGGTGGAAGTCTTGTCCCCAGTGGCAGGAGTAAGGTCAGGGGCCATGGTGGAAGTCTTGTCCCCAGTGGCAGGAGTAAGGTCAGGGGCCATGGTGGAAGTGTTACAATTAGTCTTGCTACAGTTTACCTTAGTAACAGAGGCTTGAGTACTAGAGACGGTAGTAGATCCTCCAGGTAGACCATCTAGTTGTCGAACTATATTACACCAAACATACATTAGGAATTTTATTCTAGTTTAGAACAAACAGAACATTAGTTAATGAGGCCCAAATCACTGATATCCAAAATATATTTAAAAACTCCAGATATAATAAAAAAAATGCATAAATATATTCCAAAATGTATGGCAATACTTTCGTGCCATAAAACCAGTGTTGAATGTAATCAAATGCCATTTTTCTGAGTGAGACCCAGAGGCTTCCCTGAACTATACCGGCCTGATGTGTCTCGTTTCTGCCCGAAACGCTGCACGTGCTAGTGGCTTTACAAGACTGTAATTACCATATTTGTATCCTCACATTCCTTATGTACATTCTTTTATATGCATAAATAAATAAATAAATAAATAAATATATTAGACCGTGGCAACAGTCAATCGAATGAGTTTTAGGCCCACCAGGGACCAGAAGAACCTGGCCCCCCTCAAGAAAGGCATGAGGAGCAATGGCCTAAATACACTCCCATGTAATTGGAAGCAGTCTTTGCCTGCCATCTACCAGGTCAGGCACCCAGAAAGGTAGGAATTCCAAAACAAACTACTACTGCTGCTGGTCAAAATTTGCAAACCGAAAGCCGAACTAGCAACAGAGCTCACCAGTCAAAACCAAGGAAATAAGTATGAAGTCACCACAAATGCTGCGCATCCGTCTGCGCAACCCCCACTCCCCAGTAGGGGGACAGGGGGGGAAGGGTCCCAGACCTCCACGCCAGCAACTCTCCTCAGTTCAGAGGCTGGTTGTTGGAGTTCTGGGAGTTCTACTCCCCAAGCCCGGCCCGAGGCCAGGCTTGACTTGTGAGAGTTTGGTCCACTAGGCTGTTGCTTGGAGCGACCCGCAGGCCCCACAAACCCACAACAGCCCAGTTGGTCTGGCACTCCTTGGAGGAAACAATCTAGGTTCCTCTAGAAGATGTCCACTGTTCCGGCAATATTTCTTATGCTCGCTGGGAGGGTGTCGAACAACCATGGACCTCTAATGTTTATACAGTGTTCTCTGATCGTGCATATGGCACCTCTGCTCTTCACTGGTTCTATTCTGCATTTTCTTCCATATCGTTCACTCCAGTAAGTTATTATTTTACTGTGTAGATTTGGGACGTGGCCCTCCAGTATTTTCCATGTGTTGGAAAGGTCGAGTATCAAAAATGCAAAAAATCTCCAACCGGGAGGGAGGTAGGTATGCCAGGGAGCCTCCAGGTCTCATCCAGAAAATGGTGTTTCATTACATTCAACGCTAATTTTCTGTGGAGAGCCTCTTCGGCTCTCCGGAGCCACCTAACCAAAGATAAAGAAGAAGAGGGACTTACCTGGGAGGCGGTCGTCACTCGCTCCTCAACTCGAAGTCGAGACAACTGGCTGCAACCTGCGACCCAAGGCTACATACGCCTAAGAATGTCCAGAAACATTAATGAGATACTGTGTGGCCAGGACCCTGTTCGACCTCCAAAAGCCCCGTGCCCAAATGTCAGACCAGGACACATTCCCCAAAACAGCAGCCATAGCCGCGAACTTACGAACGTCGTGGGCACGGGGATAGACCACAGGCTGGCTGGACTGAATAACCCTGCAGACAACCTAGGAGAACCGCACCCCTGGAACAGGGAAGAAGGAAAACAGAGTCCACCCAAAGCGTGTCCCCTGCCACAGAGGACGTGGCACGCAGATAATGGCGCAGATAACAGATATAGAAAAACAGTCCTGAACCGAGGGGGCCACCACAAATCGAGAACATAAAAATTGAGCACCTAGGCCAACGACCAGGACGGTTCAGGCGGCGCATGAGCAGGCCGGGTGTGAAACAACACCCAAGACAGCTTGTGGAACAGAGCAGAAGTGACATCCATCCCGAACGCAAGCTGCAGCGGCTCCACCAGCACCGCACAATACGAGGCGACAGTATTTGACATAAGATGACGGTCCTGAAACAACCAAGAGAAAAAGGACAAAACAACCTGATCAGAAATCGAAGACAACCTACGATGAGACAAAAAATGACGCAAGGACCGCCAGGAAATTTCATACTGCCGTCAAGACAAAACTCATAGGTGGGACACCATCAACGAAACCACCTGATCACCATACAATGGTGTCAAACCCGCATCAAAAAGACCAGATGCCAAGAGTGGAAGAGAAGATCGAACCAGCCACGTACCGAACTGGATCAATCTGTTGAAAGAGGCAGAACTGCCGGAAGACCCTTTGGTTCGGACATCGAGCAAGAAGCGCTTGAAACCAGGGCTGGGCTGGCCACCAAAAACCAACACTACTACTCTTCCCTGGTAAGTCTCCAACAGAGCCAGGATCCAGAGCAACAACCAGACCAGTGGGAAGAGGTACAGGTAACCCCACCTCGACCAGTCCAGCCGAAAGGCTTCGACCCTGACGGCCCTCGAAGTCTGGGAAGGGCGCCACATACACTGGAAGAGACTTCAACCACGCCGATACAAAGAGGTCCACCTCTGGGCTCCTGTACGTCAGACATAGCCAACGGAACGAGTCGGCATAAACCGTCCATTCCATGTTCAAGGGAATGATCCGAGACAGGCCATCCGCCAGGATGGCCTGTCTCGGATCATATAAACTGCCAGGAGAGCCAAACCCCGAGAACTCAGATGCGTCAGCAGAAGCGACCAGCCTCAAAGAGCCAAGAACTGCATCAAACCCCCGCGGTTCAGGCAATGAACCACCGGGTAGCAGTCCAAATGGAGCCGGATCGTTTGACACGAATCCTCTGAAGCGAATGCCACACTGCCGCAAACTCCTGCGCCGTGCTGTGAGCACGACGGAAGGACGGACCCCACCAACCCTGGCCTGCCTGGTGAGCACTTGTCGCAAAACCCCAGCCGAGAGACGAGACATCTATGAACACATCGAGAGAGGGCTCGAGGAGGCACCACGGTACAGAACTAAAAAAAAAAAATGCAGAGGAAGCCGGCGACGCAGCAGCCAAGGCAAGGCTCCCGGGATCCGAACCCAGCGATTGCGAGAGCGGCGGAAGGGACGCCCCATAAGAAACCAGAACAGCCGCTAAAGTCAATTCCGACCCGACGGGTAGCCCAGCAGGCAAAGTTCAGGCTCTCGAACAACCGCCGTGTGACTCAGGTGCCCTCCAAAAATAGTCACATGCGGGACCGCAGCCGCAACAGAGGAGGAGGAGGAGGAGGAGGAAGAGACAAGGAAGCGGTCCGAGAGTCCCACACAAGACCCAGCCAAGTCCGAACCTGAGAGGGAACCATATGGGACTTCCTCCAATTTACCAAGAACCCGAACCTGGAGAGCTGGGAAAGAGCCAAATCCCTGGCGAGAAGACACGCAGACTGGCTGGGAGCCCACACCAGCCAGTCATCGAGGTAAGCCAGAACCCAAACCCCTAACAGACGCAAACAGGTCACCACATCCCGGGTAAGGCGTGTGAACACACGAGGTGCCAGATTCAAACCGAATGGAAGGCAACGAAAGCGGTAAGTCTGTCGCCCCACGACAAAACCGAGCCAATCCCTAAACCCCGGATGAACTGGGACGTGCTAATACGCGTCCTGGAGGTCCACACACACTATCCAGGCACCCGGCGCCAAAAGCAGCAGGACCTGAGACAGAGTGGTCTTCCAAAAGGCGGGGCAAAAGACCCAGGGATTCAGACGAGACAAGTCCAGTATGAATCGCAGATCCATACAGTCCCGTTTTGGAGCTGAAAACAGGCGGGAAACCCACCCGAGTTTCCCAGGTCGAAAAAACATTGTCTTTTTGACCACGCCCAAGTGAACCCACTCCTGGATGACCCGACAGCACAGGAGAAGAGGTCTGCCCTGCCAGCCCCGATTCCCCCAAAAGAGGAGGAGCGACCCAACATCACTGCAGGCCGGAGGTAACAACCTGAAATGCCCACAAATTGTGGGACCAGGCGAGAGCAAACAGCACGAGCCTACCCCGTATCGCACCGTCAAAGGGGCGACCCGCGAAAGGGCCTACGAGAGCCCGACCAACGCTCAGAGCGATCATTGCGCCTACCAGATACTAACGGCTCCACAGGAGGTGCCGGTCCCGAATCTGGCACTACAGGCTTATGACTACCAAAGGAATCCTGAGACCTGGCACGACCCTTCTTGGCATGACCACCACCCCCCCCAGGGAACCACCAAGTCTGACATAGGACGGCAACTATATGAAGCTGCTTGCAGAAAATGCACTACCGCAGACTCTGCAAACAGCAACAGACAAAAATCTAAGACCTAAGCCGATTCCAAAGAGTGGACGAGCACCGCCTGTCGGCACGTGAGGCGAGAAGCAAAGCCCCCACACACACCGCCTCTTTCAGAATCGGCGCAAACAATTTCAACAAGGCAGCCGACGCCCGAGCTGCCGAAGCAAACACACCTGACACCGGCCCGGATCCCAGTTCCTGCACATCCTCGCCGAGCCAGTCCAAAGAGAGCTACAGCAGAGAAAAGACACGTAAGACCGAAGCCAAATGCCCAAGGGCGCGCAAATCCTCGGCCACTAGGGACACTGAAAGGGAGGGGAACCTGCGCGTGAAGCTCCACCTGACCGACATCACGAGGAAGTATGGGGGTGAACAAGCACTCATTAAGGTAAACCTGAACAATCGTAGTCAACTCCCACCATTCAAGCACGCGGGTCCGACAGACCAAATGCCACGCCCCGAATGAAAAGAAAGGGCAGTCCAACTCGGAACACTCCGGCACTTCGTAACGCACCCAGAAAGAAAACGAGGAGCCAAACTCAAAAGAAGCAGCATCCATTACCGCTGCGTAATCCGGGTCTCGCAAGAGGTTAGTCGCAATGGCTTCCTGCATCACCTTTGGAAGGAGGGATCTGAAGAACCCACAGGAACCTGGAACCAAACCCGGGGAGGGAATCGCACACACTTCAAACTTGTACAGGGAAGGGGAATAGGAAAACCCCCTCCCCTGGTTGATACCTGGTTGATGGGGTTCTGGGAGTTGTTGTTCTCCCCAAG